ATTTAGTAGTATCTCTCTCTCTCTCTCTATATATATATATATATATATATATATAATATCTTTCTTCTTTTGAAGAATCCAAATGTCAGAATGAGTTGTGATATGTGTTATCATCATGCGTTTTCCCAAAAGTTTTGAGAATTTTATATTGGCTACCTCCTTAACACAACCCACATTCTTTACCCAAGCGTGGGACGAGTTAAGGGAAAGTTTAAATGAAAAATATCTTTACACACCCTCTTTTTAGGTTTCATTTCTCAACCGACCCAAAATTTCATAACATATCTTGTGGCATAGAGATCCCATGTATTAAATCTTCTAATCCTCTAGACCAACATTACCCCTTTTGATCTTTTTAACCAAACAAAAGATTAAAAAACGTCTTTTTTCCTATTCTTTCCTAAACCCCTTTTTTTTTTCTTTTCCCATGTTTTTCCCCTAACCTCTCCTTTTTTTAAAATGTTGAAAAATATCTTTTGAAAAATATATTTTTTAATATTGAGAAAAAGAAGAGAGGTTTGGGAAGACATGAGAATAGAGCGAGAGAAGAGGGTTTAAAAAAGTATAAAAAAAAATGATATTTTTTGAACTTTTGTTTGGGCTAAAAAGATAGGGTCAAAGGGTATCAGATCTAAGAGGTTAGAAATACAATACATGGGATTTCTATGCCGCCAAATGTGTTTTGAAATCTTGAGTTTGTTGAGAAATGAAATTTAAAAAGAGGGTGTACAAAGATATTTTCCCAAGTTCAAAATCATCACCCTTCTTAGACCAGAATTGCGATAGGTGTATTTATCAAAATTACTTTTTATTTTAAAAATATAATTTATAGGTAGCTTAATCATTATGGGTAAATTTATTTTTTTTGAAAAATAAAATGGTATTTTGGAAGATATTGTTTTGCACTTTTATTTATGCAACACTCTTGTTTTTTAATAAAAATTTCAATTACAACCCTTATAAAGATTATCAAAATACCCATTGTCTTTTAGTTATGACTACACATGCACCCTTATGAGGGCTGACGAAAGACAGTGCCAACCCTGGTCCAAGCCCCGCCCTAGCCCTATTAGGGCCGGTCGAGTAAAATTAAAGGAAAACAAAACAAAAGATATATAAAAACAAATAGGGCCGGGCCTATCCTGTCTTGTTTTGGCTTGGCCCAGACCCGGCCCTCATGCGACATTTCATGGCCAGACCCTAGTTTTTAAAGGCCGGACCACCCAACTCATTGCCAACCCTAACCTTTACTTGATGAGCAAGCTCCCACGAACAAGTAAATTTTCTTTAAAAAGAAACCACATAGTAATTCTACCCTTCACAACCATTTTAACACTAAGCTTTACATTTTCCAAGGGTTGTGAATAGTAGATCCACACACATACAGGAGTGATTTCATGTCACTATGGCATCGTAGTATGAAACCACACTTGTAGAAAACCATGTTTGTGATATTTATATGACCCAAAAAACTGCATACATCTTCTCGTCATCCCATTAATCAACCTTTTTAAAATTCAATTTGTAACGTAGATATGGTCAAAATGAATCCCTCTCCAACAATGAATCTTGACTATCCATCTTGTGAATTTCAAGATTTAGACCTTTATGAACTCAAAATCAATTTTTTCTTTTCTAACATTTTTCTCATAATGATAATAAAACCACAGTATATCATTATAGAATTGTTACATAAAATCATTCCCCATATATATATAGAGAGAGAGAGAGGGAGGAATTCATACTCAACGCTCGTTGAATTTCCTCTTTTTAGCTTGGGCCTTCTCCCATTTCTTTCTTGGCACTAACTTACTCTTGGGCTTCAATCTCATCTCAGGTGAGAACTGATAATTTGGATCCCTCATCTTCGCTTGAATATCCTTAAAGAACTCTATATTCAGCTTTTTGGGCCCCCCGTCTCTCAGTTCTGCATACTCTGGCCCCGAAACTATATTCTCAAATGCTCCTATCAGTATATCTATGTCACTCATAACCTCCCAAACGTTTGTATACCGCCCATCTGGTCCTTTCTTCAACTTCTTCAGAGCATTCTCCACTGCTATCTTCCTCGCTTGCTTTCCTGGAGAGATCTTCTCCTCTTCTTTCTCCCCTTTTAATAGCTCAGCAATTGTCCTATACTTAGGTTTATCCTCAAACTCAAACAATTTATCTATATACTCATCACTTCTCTCATTTGGGCGGGGCTGGGGTGGGATGTCATCATCAGAATCTTCCTCACTACCTGTCCACAATGTCTTCTCTTCATCGCTTCCAGACCACACGCTTCTCAACTCATCACTATCATCGGCGTCTATGAGTTTTGCTTCTTCCTCAGCTTTCTCTTTCATCTTTCTAACTTCCTCTTCAACATTTGCATCATCTTTCTTTCCGTCCTCATCTTCATCACTATCAGACCATGAATATGCCTCCTTTGCCCATGCTTTCCTATATTCCTCATCTCCTAACTTTCCTTTGCCAAATAGGTCATATGATGAGCGCCGCCGATTGTAAAACCGCAATGCTGGGGCAAGTAGGAAATCCAGAACACTTTGAGCAGAATGAGTGTATAAAAAATATGGGCAACTGTGCAAAATACATGATTTAGTTCGTAGTTGAAACGGCAAGAAATTGTACATAAGCAACCATGCACAGTTAACCTGTTCATTATTGAAATGGCAAGAAATTGTCTCCGCTAATGAAAAGGAGGTACGGTCATTCAACCAATAGAAGAGTTTCCCAAGAAACATCAATCCTGGTATGATATGCAGATCAAGAAGAGAGGTTGAACATGGAATCCAGTGTTGTCACATGAATTAGGTGAAAGTATAGTACATTACCCAAATGGCTCAAGAAAGGAAGTAAAATCATGAATTAGTGGCATACAGATTGGTACGACCAAGCATACTCCAAATTTATCTCCTAGTTATAAAATCAATGCAGCAATTGATAAATGTGCATTAACAACAAGAGGTCCCAAGTATATCTAGCCTTCTTATGACTACGATAAGAATTAGCAATTATCCTTGGTTGACTCGTTACCTGACTTAGCGTCCGTAATATATTTAATTCTTCGATCATGAAGTTTCCTATCAAATGAACTTGTATAGAAGACAGAGACAAGGAAAACTCATAGGCCATTTGGGTTGATAGTTGCTGCTTAAAAAATGCTGCATGTAATATGAATAGGGTGCTCCTTTATGGAATCTGCTATACATTAAGTTATTTACACAAATACAGCAACTAGTCCATCTGAAATTAATTCTTCCTGCTAATTGCCCAGGCTTGTCATCTTCAGCCACTCACTCGTTCAAGCACAACTGTTAAAAGGAAGCATAGAATGGCCAATCATTGTTACTCGTTCTCATCAATTTGGCACTCCATTACACACAAAATATCATTGCAAATTATGGATTCAAAACAACCATGAAGCGTTAACACAGGAATTAACAATTTTTTCGTGTAAGTAGTTAGGAGTTGATGAAAATGATTATAAAAGTCGAGCACATCTAATATTAAAGGGGTGGAAATACAATGGTTGCGGCCAAACTTGGAGCATGAAACACAACATAAAGAAACCCCAGATGCAATCACTGTTATGTCCCAATCGTTATGGTTACTCCAAAATTAGGAGGTGAGAACGAGAGAAAAACAGGGACTGACCCTGAGCACACAAAATCTAAAACAGAAGACAAATAGGTGAGAATGGGTTCAAATTCCATGCTAGAATTCCTAACTCATGTAGGAGTTTTGTTTTATTAATAGAATGAATCACAACAGAACATACTGGATATATATACCAATCTAACTTTAATCACATCAGTGAAGTTATAATGAAAGGGATTAAGGGGAAAGAAAAAGACTATCTTTTAATATAAAAAAGCCATTTTGCATCTTTTATATAAAATAATGTCCAAGCTACCCTCATGGGTAGCATAAAAATAAGATGAGGAACTACGTAACAAGGACAAACTTACAAGAACCTATGTCATAATCAGATTCGAAAATTCAACTCCTCAACCTATATTTTGCAAGTCCAATACAACCTCTCCATACAGCTACGTACAGTGCATACATGGCTCTAGAGTTTACAAATAACTTGATTTGTGACTTTAATTAGAATTAACATAACAAAAATAAAGCATGTGTCCAAGTCAAAGACGCACGACCCCAAATCAAAGACACGTATACCCAATTGTAAAGAGACGCCCTCCTTATAGAAAGGGACATGTGTGTCATACAAAAACAGACACGTCTTACAATGTGGACAAGCACATATTACAAAAATGGACATGCATGTCTTGCATGTTCAATCTTTGGACTTTGTGCTGCGAATCCAAAAACATGAAACTTTTCAGACGTGCAAATCAACATGGATTTCCCATGTTTGTATGCATGTCATGTCTGTCGACACATGTGCCTAGTGGAATAGCATGTCTGATACTCCTAAATACACACAACACATGAATTTATAAAATTCGCGTTCCTTACAGAAAGGGACACGTGTCATACAAAAACAGACATTACTTACAATGTGGACACAAGTATATTAAAAAAATGGACACACGTCTTGTTTGTTCAATTGGTGGACATGCTATACTGCAAACTCAAAAATATGAAACCTTTCATACGTGCATAGCAACATGGATTTCCCATATTTGTATGCATGCCATGCATGTTGATATGTGTGTATTATGCGTTGGCATGTCAGATTCTACTAAATACACGCGACATGCATGCATTCATAAAATTCAGCATATATGAAAACTATTACACATGAACGATTATTTGAATGATTCTCCAGCCGAAAGGAAAAGAAATGCAAGAGATAGGAAATAGGAGATAAGGATGGATAGTCCTCCCGACACAGATTCTTGTTGAAAGTTTGACTTCCCAGAAACGCGGGCTGCAGGTGGGGTTGTGCCCAGTGTCCCCCTTTTCTTCCGCTTTTCAACCAGGAATATAAACAAAGAAAAATATATATTCTTCAGTCCCTAGGAGCTTATTTGCAATTTTCAATCACATAAATGGAAGAAAATTATTCAAATACTCCTTCAAAGGTTGTTGACAAGATTGGTTCACAAACAAGATTAAGAGCAATCCAATATTCATTAAGTTCATTCGTATAATTTCCATAGGACCTGCAACCTTTTTCAGAGTGTTCCAAAGAATATGGCCCATTCATTGCTAGGGCCAAGGTAACAAGTATCATTCAGTCAAAATACAACCAATGCACTAGGGTTGGCCATGCCGGATGCGTGTTTGCTCTTAACCTTATACGTAGATTGTTTAAAATTTGGGAAATCACAATGGTGGAGAATAAGCAGAGGAATGTGGAATGCTGAAGCATAGTCAAGAGAACCAACAAGCAATGAAGAAGAAGAGGTGGATCCCCCCTCTGACTGTAGCAAGATCTATAGCCTGTACTACCCTGCCCCTCCCTCCTCTTCTGCCTTTGATAGCGCTCCCTGTGCTCCTGCCCCCCCTTGGGTCACCTTCACCCAGGCAGTGCCCTCTTCTCTCTAGCCTCTTGTTCATTCCACCCCTCCAGGGGAACCCTCTCTCGCCCAGCTGCCCACCCATCCACCTTGGCCTCGCTAACCACACCTACCTCTCATTCTTTCCACCCCTTTAGAGGTCCCTTCCCCTCTTAGAACTAAACTTCTCTCCTCCTTGGTGGGCATGTTTCAGCCTAGGAGGGGTGACTTCCGGGTATTCAAAAATGGGGCCAGGGACCTGGGAGGAGCCACAGCTTAGCCGCCATCTACTTTTGAATGGTTCAATCCTTTTTAGCCTCCCCTTCGAGGACAGTGCCCTTTCGGCCCTACAGTCAGCTGCATCTCTGTCTTTCAAGGGGACCCCTCTGTAACTTCGTAAGTGGTCACTGACTGATGGGTCCTTTAGGAAACAACGAGTCGGGGTCACTGTGTCACACTTGCCTCTCCACACGTGCTCTCCCTTCACCTTCAAAAGGGTCGCAGAGGCCTGTGGTACCCTTGTTGAGATCCACTGGAAATCACTCGAATTACTCCCTTTGCGTTCCATCTGTCTGCTTTTGGAGGTTCTACACTTCAGACTTATCCCACCCTCCCTCTGGCTTGACGTCAAAGGATCCTACTTCCGCCTTGCTATTTCATGGTCTAGGGCCTCTCCCCCCTCCCCCAGTTTCTTGACCCCTTCGAACCACGTCTCCACCTACCATCCCAACCCAACAGCTTGGAATGTGGTCTCCAGGAAGCGTTTCCAGTCTGAGTGATGCCACCGTCCAACTTGCCCCAGCTCCATTCCCATCCACCGGATGATGCCACCAGTCGCAGTTGCCAGAAAGCAACCGCACCGACTAGGAACTCGTCAGCCTTTCTGCAACCCACGTGATAGGGTTGACCATTCGCTTACCACCCACATCAGGCCTCCTCGACACATTTCCCCATTAAAAAAAAACACTAGAGGTAAATTACATTCAATCATATTTTGTAAGCAGCTGTAATACAAAGAGGCATACCACAACATCATCATTGTTTGTTTGCTCATCTTTTGGTGCATAAAAACTACCAGCATTTGATTGTACCAAGATGTAAAAAAATGGTAGCAATCAAGGTTACAAAAAACTTTGTCGCCCCCTGTGCAGTCTAGGGCGTAGCAGGTGGCCCACCCATGTTCTTCGTATTGGGCAGCCGCAAGCCCCTTGGCATGCCTCACGCGCTTCCCCCTACTTTATACCCGTGTACCCCCCTCCAATGATCTTCAAATTTTTAGATGTGGGACTAAAATGTTCCCTTGTTTTTTGGCCAAAAATACAAACCCCAAAAGATGGCAGTGTTCTAAAAAACAGTCCGCCCAGCGCCAAGGTGTCCAAGAGACCTCAGGCCACACGCCTAGACCTGGGCACCCCATTCTGGTTGGTTGTACCTAAGTGTGCATCCAGCGCCTAGTTCTGGGTGGGTGGCCTTTTTCTAATTTTAAAAAATGCCCAAAAGGGCAAAGGGGGAAATTTTGATCCCCAAAAAAGTTTAAAAAAATTATGGGGGTTATTTTCAACCCCCCAAAGTTAAAAGAACACTTTCTATAAGCCCTAAATATCTTAGCTATACCCTATTTATGAGAATCAAAAGTATTTTTTGTGGTTTGAAGAAGCTTCCTAAACTTTATTTTCTCATTGGAACTATTTTTAGGGTGCTATTGAAGGTATTAGAAGACTTTTGAGGTGATTAGTAGCTCGATTTAGGTCACAAACACCGAAGAGCAAAAATTGGGCAAAAAAGGTCAGTTTGTAATCATTATTTGAGTCCCATTTTTTGGATTTGAGATGTCTTCTACATGGTCTACTAGGAGTGAAGATCCGGATGGAAGTATTGTGTTAACTAAGATAAGAATGAAAAAAATAAAATTATGTGAAATTTTTGCGGACATATTTGTAATGCTGGTGTAAATAGATTCAAGAAACATCTTGCCGGTATTAGAGGTGATGTTGCCCTATGTAAGAAGATCCCAAAGCTTGTAAAGAAATAAATTTCTGAATACATT